AGTTGCAGGCCTGGGGTCAGGGGGCCATGAGGTAGAGGCAGGGCGGAGGACAGAAGATGGACTAGGAGGACGCAGCCTGATGGAGCAGATCGAGCCCAGAAAGGACCACTTATTGGCAAGGAACATGAGTTGTGCAGTTGAGAGATAGCTAAATTGCTTAGAGGGTTGAAATCTGCCCAGCTCCAATGCTTTTAAGCTTGTAAAATAAATCATAGTCTCTCTGTGCCCATTATTTTGGAAGCTAGTGGGGTTAAAGAAAGCTGTTGCCTTATTAGATAAACTCTTGCAGAGGAAGGGCAAAAGAAGGCACCAAAAAAGAAGGTGCAGAGGAGCCTGGGCTAACGCCTGGCTGGAGCAGCCTGCGCAGGGTCTGCAGACCCAGAGCAGGTGGTTCTGACACGTACTACCATGCCGCCCAAGGATCCACTCAAACTCAGCGGCAGAGCTCAGGCAGAGCAGGGGGGCAGGCAACACAGCTCCAGTCTGTTTACTCCTGTGGTGACATAAACTGCACTAGCAATGGGACAAGATGCTTCCTGCAGTCAAATGTAGGTCAAGGGCTTGGAGACACTCCCACAGGAAGAACCACCAGAACTGGAAGGTGCAAAGTCTCCAGTGAGGGAATATTTCATATCACCCTATTTACACACAGTTTCTGGGCCCTGTGTGAGAAGGATTATAAAGAACAGCCAGCAGCCCTCATGACTCATTTCACAAAACATAAAAACATGTCTAAAATTAGTCTCTGGACTCAAATAAGTCTTAAGATTGAGAGGCAAAAGACAACAATGACACCTGCAGCTTTGAGGGCACCTGTCTCTGCCACTACTTGAAAGAATGGGCCCCTACAAAAGCCCCTACCAAATGCATCACACATGCTCAGTAGGCCTCATCCAAGGAGACACAGGAGACCAGCTGCCAGGCCAACGCCTGCTGAGCAGCTGGCATTATATGCCCAGCTGTAAGACACGGCCTTGATCTGAATGAAAACTATTCTCCATGCCCCCCTTGGGTGTCTGTTTTGGGGTGGACACATTGAGCAATAGCAACACAGATCCAATTCCAGCGAGAACACGGTTCTCACCTCCAGTAATTTATTTATTCACAGGAGGCAAGGGCTCAATTCTCTCTTGTCACAAATGCCCAATACAGTCACTTAAAGAAATAAGCCGGGATGTCCCCACTAAATTACGATCCCACCCTTGCCATGTTTCCTTTAGTTGTTTATTTGGAGTGGAGGGTATGTGAGTTGCATCACAGGGCAACTCGCAGGACCTGCCTCTCATTCTACCATGTGGGTCTTGAGGATCAAACTCAAGTCCTCAGGCTTGGCAGCAAGCACCTTCACCAGCTGAGCCATCTCGCTGGCCTCACTGGTCTGTACTCTTATTTCCAGTCTCTATCCTTTTCCCTGATTTGTGTCCTTGCTGTTTGGGTATGGTAGTCACTGCTCTCAAGCATTTATTCTTTTGCTTTTGCTTGTGAGTTGGTTTCTTAAGCTCTCACTGTAGCCTAGCAGGACTATAACTTGCTATGTAGAGCATGCTGGTCTCATACCTGTGACCATCCTCCTGCCTCTGTCTCCTAGATCATTGGGGTTACAAGCTTCGTCTACCATGCTCAGCTTCTCTAGACAAATTACTGCATTACAGCCACAGGTTAACTTGAGAATAATCACTGGATTTGACTATCTGTAATGAGCATAGTAAAAAAAAAAAAAAAAAAAAAATGCCTTTAGACATGTAAAGAATAGCTTAGACAGGTACCCCATGACACTGGAGGCTGTCAGAACCCAGTGACATCACTCACTCAAGATAACCAGACACAGTCCTAGAACCCCACAACACTCACTGGCCAGCATATAAGCAGGGACCAAGAGCAACACTCTGCTCTGCACATCTGGAGAGAGGCCATCTTGATCTGCTCTGCGGCTGGAGCCTCTCCTCCAGGATCCTGACCCTCGAATCAGAGACTGCTGTCAGAGACTGGACTGGACTTTTGGCTGAGATGTGAGCAGCCTTGGGGAGACGGGCTTAGAACCTTAGGAACCCAGAGTGTGAACTTTGTGTGATGGCCCTCAGCATAATGAAATAGAACTTTTGTTATACCAACTCTATGTATCTACCTTCTTGCTCATGACTATCTTAAAGCAGGCATATTCTTTCTCAAGTTCCTCTGCCTAAGTGAGATTTTTACAGCTGTCTTCAGGGGCCCAGTCCATTTCTTCTCAGACATTGCTGGACATTTCACTGTTGCTTTTGAAATTAAGTTCTTCTTTTCTATTACATTTTATGTTATTCCAATAGAAAGGAATACTAGTCATTTTATACTTTTCTTGTGTCACCTTTCTAAAGCTGAGGGGAGAACTCACAACTTCAGTGCTTTCTACCTTTGCTGCAACTAGAAACTTCTAATAAAAGGACAGTCTCTGATCAAACAAACAAACAAACAAACAAACAGTCCTGAGCCTAATGTTATACTGGGATACATGTACACACACACACACACACACACACACACACACACACACACACAGCTCTCCCTCCCTCCACTTTCTCCCTTCTCCTCTTTCTCCCTCTAGCTATATCTCAGTTCTTCTATGCCTCAAGCAAATAAATCTGTCTCACTCAAGAGATTTCATATGAATTCCTCAGCTAGAGCCTGGCCTCCCTTCTGGTGTTTTTCTCCAGACATCAACACTTCAGAGAGCAATGACACTTGTTCTAAAGGACGTCACAGGATGGCCCTTCTCTGCCCCTTGCTGTCCCACACCCGAGGGTCCCCATCTCCTGAGTCTCTCATCGAGAAGCACTGGCCCACAAGTGGCTCCTTTCTCTTATGTCCACTTTAAAATGAGCAAGTTCTTTGGCTTAGTTCTGCCAGGGCAGCTGGCTTCAGTTAGCTCAAGTCTGCATCTAGTCTTTATCAGTTCATCAAAAGCTTCCTCCCAGGGCCTAAAAATGTCTCTCTAAATTGGGATTATTATAAACAGGTAGTCTATCTTTGAAATGCTGTCTTTTTCTATAAACATTTAAAATTATATGAAAATATTTAAAATTTCAACAAAATGCTGCTCAAGTCACATCAGCCCTTAATATAAAGTGCTCTCTAGTTTGTGTGTCCATGTAGTAGTTTGTGCTCGCAGACATACGCAGGTATGTACACTCTCTCTGATCTGGCCCAGTACTCCCCATCTCCAACCAAATAAGCTTAATCGGGAAGACCCCAGAGACCCTGTAGGAGGTGGTGCCAGAAGGGAAGGGGCCCCCTCCCAGCAGCCTGTGAAGTGCAGGCTCCCTCCTCAGCGGGCTGTGAGAGCAGACCGTTATGTTCTTCCACGGTGATGACAGTCGTTTGGACAACAGCCTGTGAGTAGCTAGCAGAGATAGACGTTATGTGAGGGACTACAGAGTAGCAGCGATTTAGAGTAGCAGATGAGGGAGATAAAAAAGATAATGACCAAGATTAAACTGAAGGAGGGCTGTGAGGGTGCCATGAAGACCGAGTCCCACAGACGTGTCCTAGCACCAAACCATATGGCTTCGTAATCAATTCAGTTTGGTTATGCTGAAGTACTAGTGTTAAAAAAAGAAAGAAAGAAACTGTATAAGGAGTGAATATAAATATATATCCAGAGCAGATGTCCTGGGTAGGCCAAGACTGGAGGAGCCAGGGTTCTCACTGTTCAATACCCCCGGAGCCCCCGCAGACAGAAGCTGGGTCCTGGGGATCAGGGCTCAGGGAGACGAGCACTGTCTGACACAGTTAGCTTTCGGTGGCTATTCTTAGCATGGGTCTGCTCGCTGGAGATTCTGATAATTTCACAGCTGGTTCCCGACTCCATCCCGCCATGATGACAGCATGTGACCTGGGCCACTTCCTGCTATTCACAGTGGGCCCACTATGTACTAATTCCTTAAGAACATCTGTTGTTTAGAGATGGATTGCTGGTCTGTTCTCCACCCAGGTGCGGATTTAGCTTCCACTTCCATTTGACTTGCTTCCTAATCTGATCCATTATTTCTCTTTTATATATATATATATAATCTGCTTTGGCTTGGTTTTGTTTGTTATTTTGGGACACAACCTAAGCCTATTTTTAGAATCTATACAATAAAATTTACTCTCAGATAGTTTATCCTTTAAGTTTTTTCTTCTTACAGGTGATTATTCTCAAATAATTTAGCCAATTTCTATCCCCAGAGACATGATTTTTTTCCAACTTGTTTATCTTCAAGTTGAATGTTTTATTCGTTTGATACTGCCCAGATGGCTCAAGACTGAAAAAGGCACTCCCCTCTCACTGAGTGGAGAAAGCTGGGAGGCAGGATGCAATGTGGGAAGTGCTCCGCTGCCCACCTGGGCCCCACATGGCAGGACATGTTTCTCTACACAGACAGGAGTTGCTAGCTCAGAAAGGCCGGCACTTGCGTTTATCTCCTAACACGCCTTCAGTTTCCTTACAGGACAAGGAGACCTGTTCAGTGCCAAGGAGGAAATACATCCCTTCTGAAGAAACAAAAGCCAGAAGGGATTTCCACTACTCCATAGAGTGAGGAAAGAAGAGAGGGAGGGAGGTGAAGGGAAAAGGGGGGGAAAGAGGAAAAAGGGAGGGGAGAGAAAGAAGGGAAGGGAAGGGAGGGAGAGGGGGCAGATGGGAAGAAAAGAAGGCTAAGTAGTAAGAACTACATTCTTTGGGGGAGCTGACTTCAATACTTGCAGAAATATAAATGCTTGCAGAAATTCCCATTAGAAATAAAAACTACTTTCAACACCAGATGCCATGTAAGAGTCTAACTACTCTATATTTAGAAAGTTTATATAAGGCGATGTAAAAGCACAGGTTAACTCTGTGACTTATTCAATATTGCAAATGTTTTAACATCTTTCCATTGGAAGGACTAAATGAAAGTACTAAACGAAATTAAATTATATTCTGTATTTTTAGCCACTATGTTAGAATAGATAAAAGAGGTCACTGAATCAAGTTTTAATCTTACCCTGAAAAATCAGCAGAATATTGTCCATAATCAAAGATATAGACTCTAGTAATCTGACACACTGAGAGGTATCCCAAAGCAAACACAAAACAACATCTGCAAAACAAAAATAAGCTGGATTAGTGGAAACGTTCATTTTGTTAAAGGGTACATTGTAAAGAAATTCACTAATTCATATGGCTCAACAATGAAATATTATTAAGTCTACCCTACAAAATAACTTGATTTGACAGGTTATGAGAATTCTTTCCTAATATATGTGGGAAAGGAAACTGGCCTCTGATGCTTTTCACCCTTATTCTGAAAGACAGACACAAATAAAATTATATATGTGAAAAACACGAGCATTAAAAAGTGTGATTACTGATGACAGCTTTAATTTATCAATTCTTGCTTCCAAATACATTGCACGATTCTTTTTTTTTTATAAGTTTTTAGAAAAGATTTTCATTATTTATTTTATGTATCTTAATGCTCTATCTGTATGGACACCTGCATGAAGAGGGCATCAGATCCCAGTACAGATGGTTGTGAGGTACCATGTGGTTGCTGGGAATTGAACTCAGGACCTTTGGAAGAGCAGACAGTGCTCTTAACCGCTGAGCCATCTCTCTAGCCCCCATTGCACACAATGCTTAACTAAGTTTTCCCAGTTATTTCCTATGTGTGTGCATGTTTTTGCATGTGTGCAGACACTAGTGTGTGTTTGTGAGCTTACGGAAACCTGAGGCCCATGTTGGGACTCACCCTCCATCACCCTTCCATTTTCTTCATTGCAGCATGGTCCCTCAATCACATCCAGACCTCATAGCATGGTTAGTCTTGTGAGCTAGCTTGGTCTTGGATTCCCTGCCCTCTGTAGCTGAAGCCACCACCACGGCCATACAGTATTTATGAGTTCTGGGGACTCTGACCTCTGGCCTCATGCTCTCCACCAAGCTAACTTGATTTTTAAAACTGTACCCTCAGTAGTCCAAAATCATGACTTTTAGAGCAGATCAGGGGGCACTCACTCACAACCAGATAGTGCCTTTAACAAACTTAAGGTGCTGAGATGGAATTACAACTAAACACAGTATGGAAAATGAGCTTATGTATCAATGAAAAAGAACAGAAGAAACCCCAACACATATCCTAAAGAATGTAATATAGCACAAGACATAGGCTTCTGTTCAAATTCTCAAAGAACAGACGTATTAGCCAGCAAGGCAGGTGGGGGAGAGGAAGCTAGGCCTTCCTATCACATGAAAACAATTCTAGATAGATTGACTAGTCAAATATAATACCACCACAATGGGAATTGTGGCTTATAACAGTCAGATGTAGCTCTCAAACTGGACTGTTTTCTGAGCATTCAATACAGAAGCAATCAAAGGGAAAAACTATTTGACTAAACTAAATCTTAAGCTTCTCCAATAGGTAATTTTGGTGGCTTTATGAATGAGTTCTTTAAAGCTATGAAAAAAGAAAAGAAAAACTGGTGTGGTGATGAACACATTTAATCCCAGCACTCAGGAGCAAAGGCAGGTGGGTTTCTATGAGTTCGAGTTGAGAATGATCTGCACAGCAAATTCCAGGAAAGCCAGACCCTGTCTCAAAGAGAGAGAGAGAGAGAGAAGAAAGAATAGCATGCTATCTAGCCTTTATTTAATATATTTCAATCAATGTTAGTTTACTTTATAGATTCAAGTAGGAGTCTATATAGGAGGGCTAACACTACTCATCATCACAGGGATTAGTCAAAAAGATACATGCACATTGGTAAACCTTAAGCCAGGCCTGGTGGCAGTGCCTGGGGGCCTGAGGAATGAAGATTTCAAGCTCAGAGGCCTGCCACTACAACAGAGTAAGCTCAAGGCCAGCCTAGGCAATTTGGTAAGAGAAAGAGAGAGACAGAGACAGAGGGACAGAGACAGAGAGACAGAGAGAAGGAGCTGAGTGGTACAGCACTTAGTTATTAGCACGCATGAGGTCCTGGGCTCAGTATGACTCAGTGTAAGAGGAAAAAACAATTCAGTAAAGCAAAAAAACCTCTCAGTAACCTGAGGGGAAGAGATACTTCCTTAACATTAAAGAGCCTAAATATAGGCTGGGAAGACTTCTTGCCATACGAGCAAACAGACCTGAGATGGGTCCCCAGAACTCATGAGATAAGACAGGCAAAGCGGCACAAGCCTGTGACCCCAGCACCAGATGGACAGAGATAAGAGGACTCTTGGAGCTCACTAGCCAGCCAGGCCAGCTGAAGTAGTGGGCTCCAGAGTCTGTGAGAAGCTGCATCTCAAATACTAGGTGTTGGGGGCCAACTGGATGGTTTAGAAGGGAAAACACTTGGTGGGCAAATGTGACAGCCTGAGTTCCATCCCCAGGTGTAAAGAAAACCAATTTCACAATAGTGTCCCCTGAGTTCCACATGTGCAGTGTGACAGGGCTCCCTGTCACATATCCCTCTTTCACACACACAAATAATAGTAATAATAATACTAGTGTGTGAAGAAAGAAGGCACAGGATATTGACCTCCGGCCTTCACATGCACACACATGTGCTTCCATACACACACATGCACATACAATACACACAAGCACACATGCACGCACACACGCACATCTTGTCAGCCCTGAGATGGTAGCAATTCACAGAAAAAAGAACAAGTCAGAGAGCAAGAAGGGGGGGTAGTGTGCACTGCACAGCATCCTCCTCCTTGTGGATCTGAAGACTCAATAATGATAAATTCCACTCCTGTTAAATTAATTTCTAAGTTTAGCAGCATAGTCCCAACTACAGTCCCGACAGTCTTTGGTGGGGCTTACCAGCTGATCTTCAGGGGCTTCTAGCTAACTAAGCAAACACATGACGCTGAGGTCCTGTCCCATTCTAACACATGAAGGAATATGCCGTGGGGATTTAGAATGTAGAATTGTTTCAAAAATAGATCAAAGGATTATCCAAATAAGAAACAGTTTAGAAAGACTCACTGTACAACTGGGAAGTTTGTTTATAACACCAGCATATTAAAGCAGTAGTGAGATGAATGAAGTTAAGCGGGGTGAAACAACAGCTCTCTTCAGAGATAGGGCCCCAGGGCACACTATGCACATGAAACACCAGTTGGTCAACACATGAAAAGATCTAAATGTAAAAACAAACAAACAAACAAAAAACAGTTTCATGGAGAGACATACAATAAGATAAAAGAGAACACACAGCGGGGCAATCGCATAAGCAGAAAACTCACAAAGGCCTGGGAGATTTTTCTACATGCACATCAGCCAGTTCTATAGGATAAACTGTAAAGTGCTGCAGGGTAATGTAACAGAAATTCCTCAGTACATACACTAGGTTAATGCCCCTAATGGAGAATGCCCCTAATCTGATTCTTACTTCCAAGCAGTAAGAAACAGATTAAAAATTCAAGTGGAAAGAAAATAATTCAAGCAGAAAATAGGTAAGAACGTTATTGAGCAAATTATATAAGAAAAAGTGTAACCACCAGTTTATTTAGAAGAATAAAAGAGACTCAGTCAGGCAGTTGTTGGCGATAACTTGGAAATTCACAGCAGGATGGAGACAGTGTGTCCAACACAGACAAAGTATTAAAGCAGATAACACTCAACAGGGGACTTAGCTCTCAGACTTAGTAGGTTGTTTTTTTTTTTTTTTTTTTTTTTGCATCTATTTATGTGTTTATTTGTTTAGCTATTGGTCAATCAGTTTTTCCACCACTTGTCTGTCTGTCTATTGTGGGGGAGGGTCGTACATGCCATTGTGGAAGTCCTGAGATTATAGGATGTACCCCGACTCCCAGTTTCTTCCCTGCTGAGGATGCTAGCTGAGCAGCCTACCAACTGAGCTACAACCTGGTTCAAAGCAAATGTTGCCACATACACATATTCTTTGGACTGACAATCCTACATTCTTATTTGACTTAACACATTAATTCACGGACAAAGTTGTGGGATATATACCGCAAAGGTCTGCAGTGTAGAGGTGAAAGCACTACACAATGGTACAACGTGATGCAATTCTACACAACTCTATATTCAGATATTTCAACTCCTACCTAACCAGTGTGAACATACTTGTGTGACAGATGTTGATAAGTAAAACCAAGATCATAAATTCTAGCTTTTAGGAAAAAAAAATCATCCAATGTCTGGTTTTGTAAACATATTTTTATTTGGCCACACCCTGTCCATTTGTGTATTACAATGGCTGCTTATGTCTAACACCAGCCATAGAAGCCTAAAGCAATTACTATCGCATCCTCTACGGAAAACATTTGCTGACTAACTCTAATTTAGGATTAAACTGTGGGCGAAGATATTAATAATTCAAGTTAGGTTTAATTAAACATGTCAAGATGTCAGCCATATGAGGAGCAACATCATAGCCACCCTTTCATTAGTCTGTATATCAATCAACACTCACTGTAGAGGGACATTAGTTCATCAGTAACTTGAGCTACTTTACTGAACTGGACAGTAATTAAGCATCTATCTGCCATCAGTACTGTCACACCACAGCTGGCCTGCAACCACTGGTTAGCTATGAAAATGTTGGCACTCGTCAATGATGGCATTCCATGGGAACTGTGCAAACAGAATTTACAAGCAAGTGTCCTGGACATCTCATTATCTGTAAATCATGTACTAAATATCCACCCAGTCCATGCATTTTAAAATAAGCATATACGGCACAGTATTTCTAAAGGGGACTGGCTGATCCCAGTTCCCAGTCCAGATCCCCAGGTGGTCAGGTCCCTTACATAGACATGCACAGTGGTTATACAGAAGCTACCCTCCTCCCTGGAGCACTTTAGCCATCCCTGTGACAGGTCATTTTCAGTGGCTAGTACAAGGTAAACGCTTTATAGACTGTCTGTGTTTAGGGAATAATCAGTCTGTGTGTGTCCAACACAGACACCACGTTTTTCTAAAGTTTTCTGCCCACAGTGTTGAAGCCACAGATGTGAAAGCCACAGAGGGAAGGCTGACTGCCTGTTATATATACATCTTTCCCCAAACGCCGGTTAGTTGTGAAACACGGACTGGCACTCTCTGATGACTCACGTGCAGTTACTGGGCTCTTGGGAAGA